AGTAGCAGTAGTACTAGTAATAGTAGTACTAGTAATAGTAGTAGTAGGAGTAGTAGGAGTAGTAGGAGTAGTACTAGTAGTAGTAGTAATAGTAGTAGTAGTAGTAGTAGTAGTAGTAGTAGTAGTATGATGATGGTGGCAGAAATAGTCGTAGTCGTCGTCGTCGTAGTTATTGTTGCTGGTTGTACTGTTCGCAGCAGTCGCAGCAGGAGTATGAGCATTGAATTTGGTACAGTGCCATGTTCAGTTGTGTTTTTGGTCAGGTGGCTCTCCAAAGCAGAGAGATGGAGGAGCAGCGGCGGCTGCAGGAGCAGTGCCTTGGCGCAGACCAGACCGGAACATTCAGAAAACAATCCAGCAGGAAGCCCCAAAACTGCCCATCCTTTCACCTCTCCTGCTTCAGCGCAGCCTCTCTGTTTGAGTACCCCGTGAAGCGAAGCTATTGTCAGGGAACTTTGCTGTTGTAACCATGTGTTCTGACATTGATCGATAATTATGTAGAATAACAGTTTTAGAAGCCGGAGTGCCACATGAGTTGTTGTTCTGCATTTGTTATCATGATAGTAGAGTGCATTCCTTGAGCGCGATAATTTGCGTAGCGAGGCTGCGGGAGCAGCTCGAATTGCAGAAGAAGCAGCTGGAGCAGCAGCAGCAGATGCAGGCGGATTCCGCGAAACCCCTCCATGAAGGGCAGGTTTTCCTGCTTTCTTAGACATTCTAAGGTGATACCACAGCTTGAAATGTTGGGAGATTCAATGCGTCGCATTGCAATGCTTGAGATACGGATAGGTACAGTATCTATGCAGCAGAAGAAGCAGCACAGCGGCAAACCATCTCTCAACAGCAGCGCATTGAGGCGGCATGTCAATGTGTCAACAGAGCAGAACACGAGTGATGCAGAATGACAGTGGGTAGACGTCGGAGGTCGAGCTACGGCAGCAGCTTCAGAGGCAACAGCAGGCCAGAAAGGGCTGCGACAGCCGAGTTTTCACTGGCCTTTGGAGTCAAAGGGAGAGTCTAGCAGGAGATGGAAGTGGAGCGGCGGCAGCGCCACCGCTCCCCTCCGCCGGAGCGGCCACCAGCCAGGCAGACCTTTGTGAGAGAGACTTGTTTCGTGTTGGTCATGTTGAGGAAGACCCCAGGCCCAGACGCGTTGTGCAAGAGTTGGGTGGCAGCGGGAAAATTAGGCACTCTCTGTCACCAACACCCCTTGCCTACACCGTGCCAGCAGCCCGGAAGCCTCGACTGTTCGGAACACCGAAGTCCCTGATTTCAGCCCTTAACGCATAGAGTCCTGCGGCCAGATTCCAGCAACAAGCTTGGCAGCAAGACAACCGCTCCCAAGTACAACAAGCGCTGGGGCCCAAGACTCCAGATCTTCCGTGTTGGAGCCTGGGAGACTCTAAAACCCCAAGTTTCAAGGGCCTAGCCCTAACTGGGGCCCCCAGGGCCCCCCAGGCTTCAGTGCAGGGTTTTCATGAGCTGCAGAGCTCTTGGGTTCCGCGCTCTTTGCATCCAGGATTCCAGGATTTGTTTCTGACCTCCACAGCGCAGCACCGCAGAAGACCACAACAACTCAGGAGCCAAAGACCGTATTCATGTATATGGGCATGCAGACAGAGCGTCAGATAGACAGACAGGCAGACACTTACAAGATAACTGCTCCACGCCCGAAGGCCCCACCAACTTCCGGTCAATCTGAGGCCGACAGCGCTTCCGCTGCCAGGGGCAGTTCATTTGATACTTGGCCGCTGTCATTTCCCTAAGCTTCCGACTCCATACCGTGCGTTCTTTCCTTTCCGTCTTCTTCATCCTGTTCACCAATCCTGTTCCTGCATTCATCTGCATTCCTCCTGTTGCTTCAGGTTCCTTTCTGGTTGGGAACGTGAGAGGGGAACCTCGGATCCTCCCAGCGTCGCCCCTGCGCTTCCGAGCTCCGATCGAACCCAGGAACACGCCTCCGCTTCCGCAGATCGTCACCCGGCCGACACAACAGGCCTGGAGGGCTGCAGTCCCTGGTACCTTCGGGTCTGAGGTAGAATGGTAGAGGAGGAAGGCCACTGACTTGCCCGGTAGACCTCGAGACCTGCATCCGAGCTTCCTTCACTCCAACCTGTGAGAACCGGATACTGGTAGTAGTAGTAAGTAAGTAAGTAAGTAAGTAAGTAAGTAAGTAAGTACGTAAGTAAGTAAGTAAGTAAGTAAGTAAGTAAGAAACTAAGTAAGTAAGTAAGTAAGTTAGTTAGTTAGTCAGTTAGTTAGTCAGTTAGTCAGTTAGTCAGTTAGTTATTTCGCAGTGGTGGTGGTGAACATTCGTTCAATGAACGACATTGCCGGTCACAGGTCTCCTCTGTCAACCTTGGCCTACAAAGGGCCGTCAGACATGGAGCAGTCGTGCGCAGCTGGGCCAGATCGGAGGATGTCAATTTTGGGATAGTTCACAAGGACATGGCGTTCGGGGCGTACGTGTTTAGGATGGAAGGTCTTTGCTAACAGTTGCCAAGGACCACAACTATCTTTGTTTCCATTGCTGCTTTCTGTTCCATTGCCCGGTCTATATTGCCGTGAGGTAATAATCTTGCTGTAGTTTACCTCCTGCTATAGTGACGATTGCTGTTATCTGGCTTCAACCCGTGAATCTTCTTGGTATTCCTCTGAGTTGTGTTTGGTAGAGTTTGATTGGGCATAATTCCAGACTCTAGCAGCTGCTGGGTTGTACCGGGATTGCTTGCTATTTGGTGTTCTTTTTTTCTCCCTCTCTCTCTTTCTCTTCTGGTTGAGCCTCGGAGTACGTTTGCCAAGCCAACTCTCAGAGAGGCCCTAGAAACATCACCAGCCACCTTTCCACACTCTCCGGTCTCGTGCTCGATGCAAGAGTCTGAGACTCTCAGAGAACATCTGGAAGGATCTTGAAGTCTCAAAGGCCGAGGTGTGGCGTCGAGGTCAGCACACACCAGATTTCCAGAATCCGTGGAGGAGAGTATGTCTGGTTTGTGAAGACCGACCTGCTCTCCAAATCTTCTTGTTGTTGCTTGCAGGTTCAGCCTTACCTGTCTTCCGTGCATTTAGATCGGCAGTCTCATGTCTCGCTCCCACCGTGTTCCTCTTCGGTTGCGAGCTTTCGTTTCCTGTGAAGGAAGTACATGTTCAAGATGATATGGCATCAACCTGGCACGTTGGGGAGTCCTAAAAATTACCCCCCGAACCCTCAGAACCTCACTCCCATGCCCTAAGCGCATCCCTAAAGCAAACAAGTAAGAGCGCTCTCCTCATCGGAGCCTTTCTGAGGCAAATGTCGTTCGAAGTCGTACTAATTAGTCTGATGATGCTATTTTTCGGGATGATGACGATGACGGTCTTGATGTTTTTCTTCCGCACGCTACACTATACCATACTGTAACATACTCTCATCTACAAAAGCATGCCATGGTACAGTATATCCTTACTGTAGTCTACAATACTGCACTTTAAAGTCCTATAGATAGCAATCTGGTCGTCCTGGCGGTTTGATTTTGCCGGCGCTTCTTTCGCTTCCGAGGCAGTGGACGGCCGGGGCCACCCTCGTGGCCCCCGCCGGCATTGAGAGACACAGGCCTTGCTAATTACGTACGATTACTGCTCTGATCGTTATGATTGTGATTATGGCGATTATGGCTATGTCTGATGCCTGCTACTAGTATGGTCTCATGCAGCAAGAGGCAGTAGAGCTATCATAGAGGTCGGAAGACTTAGTAGTAGCTATCCCCCTTGATAGCCCCTCTTGCCCTTTGCTACAATATGCCCCAAGACCCTATTCCAGTCATTACGGCCCCACACATCATGTAGTCAGGACGGACAAGGCGCTCAGGGTTAAGCCTGGGATTGAGTCCTTCACCCCAAGCTCAAACTTCCGTCTTCGGTGCAGACTCTCAGCCTGGAGTATTATGGTGATTGGCAAGGTCACGGGCCACTGATCGGTCTGACCCATGATACCATGGGACTTTCGTGCAAGTTTCAGCCAACCAATCTACAAAAGACCCGCAGTCTCTGTGATAGCCACGAAGCCGACTTCGACCCTGCTTTGGAGGCCGCTTCGGAGGTGGGGCGCCTCCCCAGTGCTTGGGCAGAACAATTTGGGAGAGGAGCCGGGAAGACAAGGATCAACACATCGATGATTGTCACAGTGGGTTGTTTCGAACTTTGGGATCACGGATCACGGCAGCACAGTTTCCTTCAACCTTTGCCGAATGCTGGGTTACAGTCTTATGCCTTTTTGCAGCGGCCGCAAACCCAGCAATCCCGCCTTCGGGGGATTCGGGTATGGTAGCTTGCGTTTCGATGAGGCATCGATCAGCAAGCAACAAGACCACGTATTGTGGCCGGAGCAATACCTAGTCGTCACAGCAGTCGCAGGGGCAATGAACGGACTAGTGGTATGTATGGGAGGAGCAGCCAGACTGGTAGTAATATGGAGAGGGATAGTGAACAGTACTGGTTGTGTCCGCCATCATCGTCGTCATCGATTCTACCTACCGCAGTAGCAAGAATGATGATGCCGCGGGGTCGGTTGCAAAGGCTTTGCCGCTGAGTCCCTGCTTGGACTCCGAGGCCAGATGCGCGCAGATATTCTCGACAGTGATATACGCAAGTAGATGGAACGGAAGGAAGGTCGCGGAAACATGTTTAGCTGTCTCACCCAGAAAAGTGGGCTGCCCAGAGATGATAGGCGATGCAATGCACAAATGCAAGCCTATGAAGAGCGGTTCAAGACGAGCTTTTGGCAGTCTCAGACGAGTTTTCAACTGGCCTGTGCCGAAGGCACCTGCCCAGCCTCAGTCGTATTGGCTTGATTTGCACACGGGTGCCTGGAACCTTGCTCATGCAAGAACCGGCACCTCAGAGGGGAATCCACGACGCCCAAATGTCGCATGTCTGCAATGTGCGGAGCAGAAGACAGCAGGTCTTTCTGCTTCAGCACTTGTCAGGTTTTCTGCAGTGCAGTAAAGCACCTCATTCGAAACTTTGGGTGAAATAAGTTCCTCTGCAGATATCATCCATCGTGTTTCCAGTTTGTCGAGGAGCAGCTGTTGCTGTACCTGTGTTGTCTGTGGAGGAGCATCGTGAGGCCGTGTACACTACGCGGGGATTTCTTCAAAACAAGGTCCCTTGTGTCACATGATTCACATGATTTCTACCCCGCTGGACTAGTTTTGGAACTTCAAAGATAAAGCAGGAGCTTGGTTTTGAGAAATCACCGCCTCGATTGCGAAGCTAAGCTCCCAGCACTGCCTCTCACCGGAAGGGGTCATGCAGAGCGGCTCTGAGCTGGTAGCGTGTCTGATTATCTCGATGTAGGCAGGTGAGGGCGGAGCAGACTTAAATTGCTAGCCTCGTTGTGGTCCTGCTCATCTTAAAGGCACTATGTCCTTATGGTGAGACAGCCCGGGGCAGTCAAACACGCTACTTGCCTTTGTGCAGCGAGGGCGCAACCTCACCAGAGGCCACCGGCTGTCCGATCGTACCCCTGCAATAACCTAAAGTGGTACATGTGTATGCAATGCGGCATAATGCACTGTGGTGTCTGATGTGATGTAATGCAATGTAGATGTGTACATGCATGAGGTTCACGGCGGCCATAACGTCAAGAATCATCATCACCTGAGTGTTGTTAACAGCACACACAATACAGTATCAGTGACAGTAATTGTACTGACAGTCTCAGGACACTCACCAGCATCAACGACGTGATGACACTAAGTGTGCTCACAGCATGTTCTGCTGGAATAGTTGAAATATACGACTGAGAATGCCTGTAACGTGAATGCAAATTGAGTCTGGGGAGATTTATGTTGATGTGTGTTGTCAGCGGACGGCCGTAAAGGCCACCGGCCACGAACAAGAATCCATTTGCAGTTACTTTCTCTGCAAGTGGTGATAGCTCGACTCTCTCTCTCTCTCTACGACCACCGTAGGTGCGCGCGTTTCAAAAAGGTTTGCGGCAGACGTGCGAAGTTGTCAGACCTGAAGCTGTGGAGTAGGGAGCTACCCATCCTCGAGCTTCTGACAAACCCAAGAAGCCCGGGAAGACCTTGAACAGTTTCGCCCTCTTGGAGGTGAAGGCGGCCGAAAAGAACCCTCCCGAGGCATCTGCCGGAGAGGCAGAAGGTGCCCCTGCAAAGCGAAGAGTATAGGAGATCATGGTGTATTCGACTATCTTCTCGTATGTTGTAGTATAGTTGTTGGTAGATTATCGGTCTTCCAGCTTAGAACTTAGGAGTTTCGGGCCTAGGCTTGAGGTTTTCGGGCCTCGGGGTTGAAGCCCATGGGGTTGTTTTTCGAGCTTTAAGGCTCTAAGGGTTCAGCAGTCAGCGTGTTTTGAGGGATCCCTTTCAGGTTTCATGTGCTGCCGAGCCTCCCTCCGCTCAGGAGCAGTGTCCACTGCGAAGATGCAAGAATCAAAGACCCGGTGGCACCTAGCAGACCCGCAGTAGGCATTTCACGATGCATTCAGTATTCTCAGCAAACTCGAAAACCGAACTGCATGCATTGAGTCCACACTGGGGCTCTCTGATATGGGAGGGAGCCTTGCCAGAGGAGAACCGTCTCGGATTCCTCGACCCTCAAAACTTACGCTGACGCCTCAACTCCTCGTAGAAAAGTGTACACAGGCTTTTGAGCGCCAAAAGAGCCCTAAGCCCTAAACACTAAGCCCTAAACCCCAAACCCCTAAACCCCTAAACCCTAAACCCTAAACCCTAAAGCCTAAATCCTAACTATACAGGCACCGCCAGATCCAGACTGCCTAGATAGGAGGCGTCGTCAGCCAA